TGGTCGCAGAGTTGGGGTTGGTTGGGGAGCCGGTGGTGGTCACAGAGCTGGGGTTAGTTGAGGAGCCAGTGGTGGTCGTAGAGTTGGTGGATGTAGAGTCAACCCTGCCTCCCACAAGCCCAATTTGCAGCGTGTTAAGCTCTGGCTGGGACTGCATGCTGATCCAGTTCTTTACCAGTGTTTGGTTTTCATAGGACTTTAAATTTGGCAAGTTGGTGCCAAGCAGACCTTTAACCTCATTAACTGTCAGGTTCTAGGGGAAAATAGAGCAGATACATTTTATATTTGTGTGCAAATAAACACTTTTTTTTTTATCCATGCAGAACATAAAAACTAATACCAGCTATGTTGGACACAGCCATGAAGGTAGCAGCATTTTGTCCAGATGCAGGAGTAACTAAGTAGTTTACGCACGAAAAGTAAATGCTTAAGTACAAATTCAACGTACTTAAGATGTAGTATACACATCAATGCAGCAGTAATATTAATCCAGAAACATCATATATAATGGTAAAACACTGACAAAGAACCATTTTTCTGCACAATGAATACTTTTACTTGTATTCACATAATGTATTTATATTTTATTTTGCAGAGATTAGATGTTTACACAGCTAATGGCCATATTTAGCATTACGAAAATCATTTGGCAAAGGTGAACGCTAATTGCCAAATCTCACGAGAGTGTGTTGCAAAGACAGAGAAAGGTCTCAAACAAAGATTTGTGTGTTCGAAAAATGCCCTTTTAGTGTCAGAATGTTCTGTCTTCGTTCTGAACTGTCTCTGGTATTAGTGCTTAAAGATCTAAGTACATAGACTAGATTGCTGCCCTCTCTAAACACCTCTCACAAACAACCGACCTTTCAGAGACTTCTGCCTCCCAAGAACTCGCAACAGCAATTGCAACAGCTGCCAAACATACACAAACACACACACACACACACACCACTGACCAGTGCAAGGTTCTCATCCAGGCTGGTGAAGGTAGCCATGTCCATGTTGATGTTGGAGGCTGCCAAACGTTGGACATAGTCTAAATCTGCACCTCCTGCAGGGCCAGTAAAGAAATCATCAGCTGTGCTCAAATAAAGATTATCTGCTTGCAGCATGGATGTGTGTGTGTGTGTGTGTGTGTGTGTTTGTTTGCGTACCGATGAATGGCTGCATGAGCTGGTAAGACGCAGCAGAGATAGCTGATGATCTGGTGTTTGTGGCAAACGCTTGTTCGGCGATGGTGAACAGTATTTTCTTTTTCTCCGTGGTGCAGATGGACACTGTCAGGGCGTCGGCATTTCTGCAGGATACCAAAAAGGAATAAACAATAACACAACAGACTTATACTCGTTTACATTTCTCCTGCCTGGAGGAAGACTCGTGTTGGGTTGAAACGTCGCTAATAAAAGCTTAAGGGAGCTCCGATTGTGGGTTCTTTTATATCATATTTTCCAAGAGACAAAAACACCACAAACTCCATCCAGAAATTGAAAAGTTTACTCTTTGAAAATCACAACTTTTTTTGTCAATACGTCAATTGTATCATCGTAATTTAGATATGTCTGTTTTCAACTATGCTTAAAAGAAAATAGCTGCACACTGGAAAGTGTGGTCAAGTAAAAATGATTCCTACTTTATTTATAAGACTGCTTTTTTCCAAATCTGTAGTTTACGGTT